CATTGAGTTCCTGTACCAGGTGTGTGTATGTGTGTGGGGGGAGACTCACTGAGCTCCTGCACCAGGTGTGTGTGTGTCTCAACTCACTGAGCTCCTGTCCCAGGTGTGTGTGTGTGGGGGCTCATTGAGTTCCTGTACCAGGTGTGTGTATGTGTGTGGGGGGAGACTCACTGAGCTCCTGCACCAGGTGTGTGTGTGTCTCAACTCACTGAGCTCCTGTCCCAGGTGTGTGTGTGTGGGGGCTCATTGAGTTCCTGTACCAGGTGTGTGTATGTGTGTGGGGGGAGACTCACTGAGCTCCTGCACCAGGTGTGTGTGTGTCTCAACTCACTGAGCTCCTGTCCCAGGTGTGTGTGTGTGGGGGCTCATTGAGTTCCTGTACCAGGTGTGTGTATGTGTGTGGGGGGAGACTCACTGAGCTCCTGCACCAGGTGTGTGTGTGTCTCAACTCACTGAGCTCCTGTCCCAGGTGTGTGTGTGTGGGGGCTCATTGAGTTCCTGTACCAGGTGTGTGTATGTGTGTGGGGGGAGACTCACTGAGCTCCTGCACCAGGTGTGTGTGTGTCTCAACTCACTGAGCTCCTGTCCCAGGTGTGTGTGTGTGGGGGCTCATTGAGTTCCTGTACCAGGTGTGTGTATGTGTGTGGGGGGAGACTCACTGAGCTCCTGCACCAGGTGTGTGTGTGTCTCAACTCACTGAGCTCCTGTCCCAGGTGTGTGTGTGTGGGGGCTCATTGAGTTCCTGTACCAGGTGTGTGTATGTGTGTGGGGGGAGACTCACTGAGCTCCTGCACCAGGTGTGTGTGTGTCTCAACTCACTGAGCTCCTGTCCCAGGTGTGTGTGTGTGGGGGCTCATTGAGTTCCTGTACCAGGTGTGTGTATGTGTGTGGGGGGAGACTCACTGAGCTCCTGCACCAGGTGTGTGTGTGTCTCAACTCACTGAGCTCCTGTCCCAGGTGTGTGTGTGTGGGGGCTCATTGAGTTCCTGTACCAGGTGTGTGTATGTGTGTGGGGGGAGACTCACTGAGCTCCTGCACCAGGTGTGTGTGTGTCTCAACTCACTGAGCTCCTGTCCCAGGTGTGTGTGTGTGGGGGCTCATTGAGTTCCTGTACCAGGTGTGTGTATGTGTGTGGGGGGAGACTCACTGAGCTCCTGCACCAGGTGTGTGTGTGTCTCAACTCACTGAGCTCCTGTCCCAGGTGTGTGTGTGTGGGGGCTCATTGAGTTCCTGTACCAGGTGTGTGTATGTGTGTGGGGGGAGACTCACTGAGCTCCTGCACCAGGTGTGTGTGTGTCTCAACTCACTGAGCTCCTGTCCCAGGTGTGTGTGTGTGGGGGAACTCACTGAGTTCGTGCACCAGCTTTGATGGCGGGAGAGCCCAGACTCCTTGCACGTGTGAGGTTCGCAGGGGTGGGGTCTAGTGGTACCACCACAGCTGGTCCCTGGTCTCTGTAGCCGGTAGGCAGGTAATGACCCTCCGAGTGGTCGTCGCCGTTAGCCAGCCAGCAGGCCCTGGCCCCAGCTGGGAGTCTCCACACCTCTGCCCAATGTTCCCCTCGGTCACAAGGCCCCAGAGCTGGGCGCTGCCTTCGCCTCTCTTGGGCTCAGGGAAGGCCTTGCCCACCACAGCTGCCTCCCCCGCAGCGACTTCTGCTGGAGGAGTGCCAGGGCTGGGGCTGGCCCTCTTGATGCTGAGGGCTCCAGCCTGGGGCCAGGGCCTGGTAGCGGCAAAGGCTCGTGCATGCACCAAGCCTGGGTGCCGGGCCTAGTGGTCTGCCAGACCCCTCGGACTCTGGTCCGGTTGTCAGCTCAGAGCAGCCCACCCAGCCTCCAGGCCTTGGGCTTGTGCCTGGCTGTTCTCTTGGGGGCAGGCTGCAGGCCTCGGAGTGTCTGGTCCACTTCCACATGGGGTGGGCGGCCACAGTGGCTGCCTACTGTGGCTGGAGCGTCAGGGAGGGACTTGGGACAGAGTAGAGGTGACCTGGGTGCCTTCCAGATGCCGCGGGTCACCCTGTGGGTCCCGTGTTGGCCAGCCCCATACCAGGTACAGACAGACAGACAGCAGTCGCCGCTCACACACCTTCGCAGTCGGAGTGCCCACACACACGCCCCGTCCTGCTGCCCTCAGGAGCACGTGTCCTCCTGTGACGAGACCCGCCCGCTTCTGATCCTGGTGGCCACTCAGAGTCCCCGTGGCCCTCTCCTTCCCACACACGGCCACGCCAGGCCTCCTAGTTCCGCCAGCCTGGGACGTGCCAAGTGGTGCCCGAGTGCTTTGGCCCACAGCCCTGACGCGTGTCCCCGTGCCCTTTCGCAGGGGACCTTTCTGGGCACACGGGCCCCTCTGCAAAGTCCATGAGTGGCTTCTGTGTGCTTTTTTTTTTTTTTTTGAGAGGTTTTTGCTATAGGGTATGTGTACGCACCAGAAAGACAGAGAGAGACAGAGAGACAGAAAGCGAGAAACCACCCCCCAGGGGCATGGCCACACCGCAACCCCTTCTCCATTCTCCTCTCAGGATCTTGGGCACACACACGCAGGCGCCCGTTGTGAGTTTAAGCCACCAGATCTGGGACTCGAACTGCAGTCAACTACATGGAAGTCCAGCAACATAGCCATTATGCCATCTGCTGGTCCCATGTGTGCTTTTTAATTTTTTTAATCTATTTATTTATTTATTTATTTTCATTTGACCAGAGAGGGACAGAGAGAGAGTGAGAGAAAGAGAGGGAAAGTGAGAAATCAAGCCTCCAGGTCCAGGACTCGAACTGCTGTCAGCCACATGGGAGTACAGAGCCCTTAACCACCACGCCACCTGCCGGGCCCCTGTGTGCTTTTAAGTTGCTTTTCTCTGAGAAAAAGTCGGCAGCTCAGCTAGTACTCCCCAAGCTCTGGGTTCCTGAGCTGCAGTACCTTCTCTCACTCTGCCGTCTCTTACCACCTCCAAAGGTGCAGGAAGCGAGGACGGGAGAGTGGCACGGGGACTGGACGATGGCGCACACTCAGCACGCTTGCACGGGCGTGTGCCAAAGACCTTGTTTGGTATTTTGAAGAGTCACTATAGGGCACATGTGCTCGCCAGAGAGACAGAAAAGGAGAAGTCACCCAGGGGGGCAGCTGCACCGCAGTCCCTTCCCCTCCCTTCTCTCAGGGCTGTGGGCACGCACACACCCCATGAGTGCCAAGCTGCTGGGTCTAGGGCTTGAACTGCGGTCGGTCATGTGGGACTGCAGCACCTTAACCACTGTGCCACCTCCCAGCCTCACCACAGAACCTTACAGGAGGGTAGGAGTGATGCTTCATGTCTAGACAGTTCTGGGTTTTTTATTCTTTTAGTTTGCTAGAGGGCATATGCACTCACCAAAGAAAGCGAGAGTGAGTGAGAGAGAGCGAGAGTGAGCGAGAGAGCGAGAGCGAGCAGCCCACGGGGGACGGCCACGCAACAACCCTTGCCCGTTGCCCTCTCCCTCTGCCAGGGTCCAGGCACACATGCACGCAGCAGGTGCGTTCCCGAGGGTCTAGGGCTCAAACCACACGATTGGGCCACTTGTGACCCAGTGGCCTAACCCCAGGGCCCATGGGCCCTCATATACATTTCTAAACGCGTGCTTTCTTACAGGGCACCGCACTGTCAGGCGTCACCAAACCGAGGCCTCCTCCACGCGGTCTCAGGTACGCTTCGGGCTGACTTCCCCAGCTGACACCAAGACGTCTTCACAGCCAGTTGGTTTGAACGTGTGTCCAGCCACATGGAGACGTTGCATTTGGCTTCTAGGTCTCTCAGAGCGCTTTTCCCCAAAACGCACCCCCTGCCCACTCCCTGCCCGGGCAGTTTCGGTTATTTCCCAGATTGTCTTTCCTGGCAAGGAGGCTCGAGGCTTGGCTGGGCGGAGGGCACGTGCTTGGCAAGAACGGCCACCAGGTGGCAGTGTGCACTCGCCCAGCCATCCCAGGGCCGGCTAGGTCCCCGCTCCCCCTGTGCTGAATCCCAGCCGTGTTCTTAATCCTTCGCACCCGGTGGCTGCAACCCAGGACCAAGGATGACTCGGAAATTTCCACACCTCAATTAACTTTTGCTTAACGGATTTAGCACCTATTGGTTTTCTAATTTCAAAACATGTTTTTTGGCAGTCAGTCTTCTTAAAGAAGTGCTTTCTGGGGCCAGCCAGTGGCGTGCTGGTTAAGGCACTGGATTCCGCATGGCTGACTACACAGTTCGAGTCCCGGACGGAGGGCTTGAAATACACGTGGTGTGCATGCGTGCCCAAAACCCTCAGCGCAGAGTGGAGGAGGGCCTGCCGCGGCCATCACCTGTGAGTGGACTCTCGCTTTCCTTCTCTGTCTCTGTTAAGGGCAGGCACCTTCTGGCGAATTGGCAGAGAGAGAGAGAGGCGAGAGGGGGGCGAGAGATGGGGGGCGAGAGATGGGGGGGCGAGAGAGAGAGCGGGGCGGGGGGAGCAAGAGAGAGAGGTGGAGTCACTGTAGTAAAAGAATGAAAATAGAAGAGTAAAAGTCACAGATCCGGGTACCATCGTACCCAGCCGAGGACTCAGGGCAGGAAGGGCCCACAGCCTGGGTGCGGCCACCACCCCACGCGCCCACTGAGGGCCCCACCCAAGCTCTCCCGAAGGCCCGCTGCCAGACCATCAGGGCTGCGCCACGTGGTCCCAGGGCTCCCAGGCCAGGGCCATACTCATGGGCTCCTGGTCACCCCGGCCACCTGCCCCAGACCCTGCTGCCAGAGGTGGTGGGACAGCGATGGCCTCCTGTGGTGTGGGCACCCCGACGACATGTCGGGCAGACTCAGGAGGGGGACGGGCTCACTGCAGAGCCCCTGCCCGGTCTCCACCCCTCCGGCCCCAGCACTCCCGGGGCCTTTCTGAGGAGCGGCCCACCTAACTGCAGCCTCTCGTGGCCCCTGGTCAAGCTTAGGGGATCTGAGGGGCGGGGGAGCACCCAGGTGGTGACAGACCCCCACTCAGAGCGACAGAGGCCTGTATGCTGCAGCGTGACGGAGGAATGATTTATTAGAACAAATTTCATGACAAATCATATAAAATAACCATTTTCGGAAAGACATCCACAGACCACCTGAGAACAAGGGTACAGATACCTCTGAGAAGCCAGAAAAGTCACCAAACCCAAGTTGAAGGCTGGGCGGGCAACGGGGGAATCAATGTGGGGAGGAACGTGGATTTGTGAGTAAGAAAACTGTGTGGCAATTACCGCGGAGCAGGGTGTGGCTGCGGCGGTGGTGGCAAGGGACTGCTGTGCAGGGTGGCAGGCGGCGACACCGGGCTAGCACCTCCTCATGTGGACAGCAGGCTCTCAGAGCCACGCCCACGCACGCATGAGCACAGGGAGGACGCCGAGCACCGGGAGGTGCACACGCTCCGGGGCAGCTCCGTGCAAGCCCGTGTGGCCCTGGCCCACCCTCAGGCACCCCGCCCCGAGCCCAGAACGTGCTCTAGCCCCGGGACGGCACCGCGCACTCACGCCAGTCTGGATGGTGGGGTACTGCCTGCCCCACCTGCCGGGCCACGGCCCTCAGGCTTAGAGGTGGCACAGCCATAGCTACCCGGGAGGGCAGCAGCAGAGGGCCACACTCTGCCCACCTGGCCTGCTCCCAGCTCAAAGAATCCTGAGAAAACGGAACTGCCCTGGGCCACGCCGCCCCTGTGGGCCCAGCGCTGTTGCCCACCTAATGCCCAGTGTCCAGGAGGGTGGGGAGGACTGGGAGCGTCCGGAAACCTGGCTTCCAGTGACTTTGGTCTAGCGCTCGCCTCCGCCTGAAGGGGACGCTCACCACCCAGCTCACCCAGGCCCCAGCAGCCCAGTGCAAAGGCCCAGGGCAGCCCACGGACGACCCCGCAGTCTGGGCGCAGCGCCGGAGGGGCGGGGCCCAGCCGTGCATGCTGACGGGCGTCTCTGTTCCTGCCCAGCTGCCAGCCCCAGCCCATAGCGGGAGGGCCCCATGAGGACGGCCCCGCTCAGAGGGCTGGCAGTGGCGTTGGCACTGAGGGCCTGAGCAGTCAGTTGCTGCCCAGACCATCTCCACAGGACCCGCCCAGGCTCTGGCGTGGCTCAGGTCCCGGCATCGGGTAGGAGCCCTGGGCGGAGGGCCCTGCCTCCCTGGACAGTCTAAGGGACACGCCAGCCCTCCGCTCCATGGCTGGTCCCGAATGATGCCTCGGGCGGCCATTTCTCTGCCTGCTGGGGCCCTGCGGGGACTGGCCAGATGCACAGGGCCTCTGGGCAAGGTGGGGCAGGGCTGTCCAGGCCAGGGCGGTCAGCAGGCCTGTAGGAGCCGCTGCAATGGCACCAATGACTCTTCCCATTAAAGCTACAGACAAAACACAGACGAGCACACATCGGGGGCTGGGCCAGGAGGCCAGTGGGGGCAGCCACGGCCGGCCTGGGGGCTGGGGGCTGGCTGGAGTGCAGGGGTGCTGGGTACAGAGGCGTCTGCCCCGGGTTTGGCACATGTGAGGTCTCGCGGAGACCGCTGTGGCCGGGCACGGGGTGAGTGTGGAGGGTGGGGAGGCCCTGGGGGGCCCTGGCCCTAGATCCGGAACCTGTCGGCGTCGGGGAGAAAGGTGGGGAGGAAGGTGGCGTCCGGGTGGCCCGTGGGCCCGCAGGTGGCCCGTGCCAGGGGCAGGGCCGGCAGCAGGGCGTCAGCGGGGCGGGGCAAGGGTGGGCTCTGGGCAGGCCGGCCCTGCCCCACAGAGCCCCTGTGTGCTGTGAGCAGGTCCAGGTTCCCGCTGGGGTCCACGATGACGTTGATGACTGCAATGAGGGGCAGGAGTTTAGGCCGGCACCCCACCGCAACCCCGCTGCCTGCCCTGGCACCGGGCCCCGGCCCCACCCCACCACACACACCTTCTAGCTGCTTCTGCACCCGTCTGAGCTCTTTCAGGATGGAGCTTATCTCCTGGAACAGACAGGGGCGGCAGGTGGAGCGGGACCAGGGTCAGCCTCATGGCTGGTGGAGCTGGGCCAGCCGGGGCGGGGGCCTCACCTTGTTGGATGTCTTCAGGAGGGGCACCTCATTCTCCGCATTAATCCTGGCCTCCAGCTCCTCCCACGCACGCCCTGTGTTCTGAAAGAGCACCCTGCCGGGGAAGAGCAGGCAGGCCCGGACAGTGACTCCGAGCTGGGGCGATCCCCAGAGATCCCTGTGCCATACCCCAGGACCCAGAGCAGGACTTGGGCTGGCTGGCACCACAGTCCCCAACTCTGCCTGCCATCGGGTGCAGGAGGGCAGGCCAGGGTTGGAGGGAGGGAAACAGGGGTCATCCTGGAGGTGGCAGCTCCCAGACTCGGGCCTCCTTGCAGAAGCCACGCGCTGCACACAGTCCTGCCCGCGCACATCTGTACGGCCCAGGGCCTGGCACACAGCCGGGCTGCCACTCACTTCATCTTCTCTGCGAGGTGCTCCGTGCGCTCGCGGATGGTGTGGGACAGCTGGGACACCGGGTTCAGCATCAGGTTGTCAAAGATCACCTAGACCAACGAGCGTCAGACAGCCGCCAATGCCCCCAAAGGCCCTGCCCACCACCCAGCAGCTGGCCCCCCCCGCCTGGTGGGCCCGTGCCTCCTCGTGGTTCCGAGGCCGCGTCTTGGCCAGGGAGTCCTCACGGCTGTTGTTCATGTTCTGGTCAAAGTCCCGCGAGTTCCGGGAGCCGGGCGGCACCTTCTGGAAGTTGAGGCTGGCCTCTGGAATGTGCTGCACCAGCTGCAGGGTGGGGGCGGGGCCGCCACCCGGGGGGGGGGGCG